CTCTTTTGCTAACGAATAGTGGGATTGACCGTCACATTATAACGCCCCCACGGCTGAAAGGGCGAGCATGTTTGGTGGGATGGGGATGCGAAACTGCGACCCGCAGATTGCGAGTCGAGCGTCCTAACCACCTGGCCATGCCGGGCATGTGTTAAACTGATGTTAGACTTTTTCATTGGTTTGCTTATGTGGAAAAAACTATAAAGATAACACGATTTTTTTCTTATCAGTCGTTTTTAGAAAGATTTTGAAGAGACTAACATGAACGACCTTAATTTCTTAAATGAAAGGGAAAATATTATGAAAATACACTAAATCAAGGTCACCTTACTTTGTGTGTATATGTATACATATTTTTTTAAACTTCCAATGGCAAAAGGTAATACAAAATTATGAAAAAAAAATCTAAATAAACTATGTAAGGATCATAACGTTCTTAGCCATATTGAAATGAAGTTTTCCTTCAATCTTTTTTTCTAAACATGATTGAAACGCCTTAAAGATTGTTTCAAAAACACACCTTAAAGTTACCGTTAATCTTATGTGGATAAACAGGAGGCATTTATACTACTGATTGTTTAATTGTTTAACTTGTGAATAACAACATGAAAAAAACAACAACAAAAAAAACCGCGCATTAATATGTAGACATCATCACATACAATGAATTTTCAACAAAATGCTCTCATTCCAGAATTAAATCAAATAACTAAACTAACTCTTAAAATCATGCTTTTGTTATTTTATTCTATTCACCGCGGAAATTCAGAGAGTAAATTCCAACGTTACAATTCATTCATATAGAACTTACCTGTGCTAAGACTCCATTCAACTCAATGTTACACTCACATATATAGCCAATCTATATTAAAACTTCAGTTAACGCAACGTTACAATCTACTAACACAGAACCAATATGTACTAAGTTTACAGTTTAACTCAACATTACAACCCATTCACACAAAGCGAATTCGTACTAAGACTACAGTCAATGCAACGTTACAATCTACTCACACAGAGCAGACTTGAACTAAGACTACGGTTAATGCAAGGTTACAATCCACTCGCACAGAGCCAATTTATATTACAAATTATAGCTATATTGCTGAATGCATTTAGCGACAGGTGCGATATATTTATAAACGCGGTTATGGCCATTGCCATAAAATATTTAGGTCTGAGGAGCCACTAATATATATTTTTTCGAAAGGTAAGGCAACAGTATCTTTATAGATGTTAACTGACAATTATTAGATTATTGAATTATATGAAAAATAAAATCGTTTAGAAAATATCAGAACTAAATGCGTGGCGAATATAGAATGATGGTAAATAAGAATGGTAGTAACTGCCAATTTAATTTCGACGAAAATGAAAATATACAATTTTATTGATCGAAATTTCCCACACTTAAGTGTTAATCTATTTAGAACTTAAAATATTTCCAAAACTTTCTGATTCTTATTTTTTTTTAGAATCATTAATAAAAGGAAGAAACCATGTCACTATGATTTGATTCAGAAAACTTTAATCATTAAAGATTTGGATATTAATTACTCAAATTATTATATATATATATAAATATATATTTTTACAATGTAATTATTGTAATTTGTTCAAAAAATAGCGAATAAATAAACGAAACATGATTCATGTTTTCTTATCATAATTCACTGGCAGAGCGCTGTTTTATTGCAATAATATAACATTTTGAGGGTCAAAACGTTTATAAGTGAAAATGGTGGATTAATCGATGCTATTGCTAAGGTCTAAAATGTTGTGCTTATCACTTTTAAAACAAGAGTTTCACAGTTAGTAGTTCATCAGGCTGGATTTATGTAGCAAAGTTTTAATATGGAGACTTTATTCAACCTTGTAGAATAAATATTGAAAAAAAAACGGATCATTCTTCTACAATAGAGCACTGTTGAAAAGTAGCACGTTCTTCTACAAAAGAGCATTGTTGAAGTAGAGTAATGATGAAATGACGTTTCTTTACAAAATAAAGTTGAAGGAAGTCAATGTTGAAAAGATGGCATGTTCTCCTACAAAACAGCATTGTTGAAATGACGTTTCTTTAAAACAAAAATTTGAAAGTAGATCAGTGTTGAAAACATGACATGTTATTCTACAAAAGAGCATTGCTGAAGTAGTGCAATGATGAAAGGACGTTTCTTTACAAAATAAAGTTGAAGGAAATCAATGTTGAAAAGATGGCATGTTCTTTTACAAAACAGCATTGTTGAAATGACGTTTCTTTCAACAAAGATTTGAAAGTAGATCAATGTTGAAAACATGACATGTTCTTCTACAAAAGAGCATTGTTGAGTTTTATCCTCTTAGCTTCTAAACTTGAAATATGTGAATGGACGTCCCTTTTGAAATGATACACTCTTATTTTGGTCTTTGTTCGTCAATTTTTCTGTAAAGTTTTTAGAGGAACGATTTTTCAGTTTCTATTGAAGGATCGAAATGAAAAGAAAGCACTAAAGAAATACAGTGCGGTATTCACCAGTCCGATCACCTATAAAATAAGGACAAGACATTTGTCAGGGCCACTACTAATTGAAAGATTTTTAAAGTCATGATATTTGCAATAAAAATATTTAAAATATATTTGATTGCTACTTTTTTAAAAGCTTGTTATTTCATCAATATCAACTAAACTAAACTAGTGTGGTAGCTACATGAACAAAGCCTATAGGACGAAAGGAAACAACTATAACTTCAACAATCTTTATATCAAATTTGCAACCTTCTGTTTAAAGGTTTTTTCATAATCTTTTCCACTTCCACCAGTATCATCATAATATTACATTAAATTTTTCTATTATCGAAAATATGTAATAAACTATTTCAGAATAAGAAAAACAAAAAATATAACTCTGGAATAACCACAATAAGTGTACAGACATAATAAATTGAAAAAACAACTTTTAAAGAAAAAAAAGAACAAAATATTTAAAGAAAATAGGTCACAATAACAATTATAAGAAAGTGAAAACGCGGATCGCCAGATCTAGTAGAAATGTCATTTTTCAGTCATGTGGTATTTTAATTTGTTACTGAATGGTTTGCTATCTAATGACACTTATAGGGAGGAGTTGGTGAAAAAAAGAACCAGCAGGTCCGCTAGAAATGTCATTTTTCAGTCATGTGGTATTTTAATTTGTTACTGAATGGTTTGCTATCTAATGACACTTATAGGGAGG